ACCACATACCAACAAAGATGTTGTGTCCGCCGAGAACTAAAAAAATAAATATTAAAAAATTCTCTCTCTCTCCTCTCTCACTCTCTCTTAAAAAAAAGACTTTATTAAAAAAAAAAAAGAAACAAAGAAAGACTTTGCTAATATGGAACATTTATATTTCAGTAACAAAAGTAGGGATAAATTTCAGATGAAAATCGTGGATATGCACATGTGTGAATGTGTGTGCATAAGTGTGTATAGTACTGGTGTATTGCCCTTAAAGAAAAGGGGGCATTCATGTCCCTGAATGCCCCCTTTCTTACCTCCCAAAACTAGCCAAGGGAACAATGAGAGAAAGCCTGGGCTGGAATACTCTGTTTTTCTCTTAAGTGTGCTGGGAACTAGAGAAAGCAAATATTATCTGTAGAAAGTTGCTTTTTTGCATGTATAACAGGATAGTTCCTCCTTGGAATGCTGTTTATGCAAACGAAGCCAGCTAATGCTGATGATGTCACTGCTCCTGCAGTCCTGCATATAAAACCCCTCTTATAGTGGCAACTGGAGCAGAACTGAGGGCACTGTGGAAAGGATATTGTCACTTGTCTAGCCAGCTGCCAAAACCTAGGAGGGGGAGGAGGCTGTGCTGGGCATCACCACCTGAACTCCCCTGTAAGCATTTCTCAGTTAAACCCCGTGATTCCCACACCATCTCTGGGTATGTTCTTTGGTATCCTGGCAACCTATTCCCCTGACCTGGGAATTGGGTTGTGGACACAACAACTGGGTCAGGGCTGCCCTTCCATGGACAACTTAAGAAGAATCAGGGAGTGGCTAAGCTATCAGCTGACTTTCTAGGATAAAATATTTTTTGCTTATCTCTGCTTGCCTGCATTTTTGGAACTAAAAGAGCCATTCCCGATAAGCATTAACTTTCATTCTTCTCAGCAATTCCAGCTGTCCTTTAACAATGGTGGCAAGGGTAGAGATGAGAAAGAACTGTGCTGAGATTCAATTTCTGAGAATTTCTTAACAAGATACGCCAACTGATGCTTGTTCTATTCAGAGACTGCGAGTGTAATTTCCACTTCTAAGGAAATGTTCAGTGCAAATGTTAATCTCATAGTTTCTCTCCTTCAAAGACTTGTAAAGAATCATCTTTACATGTTACTTCTGACAAGAAACAACTATAATGAAATCTTGTGTTAGACAGTGGTTTGGAAATGCAGAGAGACTAGAGATTGTTAAATGAAAGCATGGAGTTTTTTTTTTTAATTTTTAAGTTCTAATTTGTTATGTAAACAGCAGAATACATTACAATTCATATTACACATATAGAGCACAATTTTTCATATCTCTGGTTTTACACAAAGTAGAGTCACACCATTCACATCTTTTTTTTTTTTTAGAGAGAGAATTTTTTTAATATTTATTTTTTAGTTTTCGGCGGACACAACATCTTTTTTTTTTATATTATCTGACTTT